ACAGTGGGAAACCGTGGATGAGTAAGGGATTACAGAATGCATGTAAAAAGAAGAATGCGTTATATAAGGAATTCATAAAGGACAGATCAAAGAAGGCGGAAGAAAAATATAAGTCATATAAGAACAAATTAATTGAGATTTTGAGGAGATGTAAGAAACTATATTACTCTAAAGTATTAGAGGATAATAAAAATAACATGAGAGGTACTTGGAATATATTAAATAAATTGATTAGAAACAGTTCCAGCAAGAGTAACTACCCTCAATATTTTATGGATAATGATACACCGGTTAATAGATTGGAGGTTGTAGTAGATAATTTTAATAGGTTCTTTGTGAATCTTGGTCCTGGTTTAGCAAGAAGCATTTGTACAGATGATACATCCGTCACTATAAATAATACTACAATCGAAAGGAACATGAGTTCTATGGGTCCCTGGTGATACACTCCTTCCGGTGGGCCCCGCCTCCCTCCCTGGGATGGTGTTCTGTCTGTCTGGTATCCATTCTTGGGGGGGGGTCCTGTCAGGTTTGTTCAGCTGCACCTGCCTCTCTCACCTCCATCTCTGTGTTCTTCGGTCCTTGATCATGTCACCTTACACACCTGCCACTTGTCTCCTTGATTACACCAGCTGTTTTCACTTAGTCCTTCACCTTATTTATGCCCACTTCACACTCCCTTGCCAGTTCGTTCGCTTGCTTTCAGGCCGACAACCAGCGCTACTTTCTTAGATTCTTTTATAGTGTTTTGAGTTGTTTCGCGTCTCAGCCATTTTTTTTCTGGATCATTGTCTTGTTTTTTCCAGCAACCATGCCACACCTCTCCAGTCCCTCCTGATCACCTCACCTACGGATTACCTTCTCTGGACCATACGCCTCATTTCTCTGCCAGTTCCACGAGTCAGGTTGATGCACAGTCCTACAAACTGCTCCTCTCACCATTGTCTTCTACTCTGTCTTCTCAGCCGTTGTTCATCTCCACTGACCAGCCAGTAAGTGACCCATTCAGTCCCGTAGCTTGGCCCTCCTTCTCAACCACAGACTAGAGACTCATTTCTGTAACTGATCAACGCCTGGTTTTCCCAATACCCATGGTAAATTTGTTCTATTGTTGTCACTTGTATATATTGTATAGCACTATTAAATTAGTTTGCATCATCGTCAGTCATCTGGGTCCATTCTTTTCTGCTCACTCACTTCCCTGTGTGTGAGTGTTTCATAACAATAATGCTCATAACCCAAGGTAATAGTCATATGGATGCATGTTCACTATCATTCATAAAACCGTCCATACAAAAACATTTGTTTAAATACATTTAAATGGATGCTTCTGAAATCAGAGTGCTCTGCTTTCAGCAATACCACATGTCGACGTTTATTAAAAGGATGTGACACAAGTTGAATAAGGACAAGGGTGTAGTGGCTGAGCTTAAGAGGTTAAAAAAGATGAACACTATGTATTTGTTCAGCTTACCACCATTGAGAATCTCAATTGAGTGGACTGTAGCTGAAGCTGCGAGGAGGATCTTCTTGCCATAACCGATTGTAACATGATGATCTTCACTATGTCCTGGCATCCATGGCTGCAGTCCTGGCTCCTTATCTGGACAAACTGTAGGAGATAATGCAAATATTTCACACACACAGTGACTGCTGTAGCATATGTGCTTAAAGTCACACGGGCGTGACACAATGGGGATGGGGCAGACTTTGACATTGCGCTGGTTGTGAAGTAAGAGGCTCACCTATATTAAAAAAAAAAAATTATTCCTTACATCTAGCTAAACTATTAGTGGTAAACTAAACCCTACTGCTACTTAAATTTCAAATGACTGCAAATTAACCCACATAGCTGTTTCTCTGGAACTGTTTGTAGCTCGTTTGCCTCCTGTCATTTTGCAGGACTAATTGACTTTTTTCAGATGCATTTTAGATATGTCAGTGTCACAAACATTTCTATGGCTCAAGCAGGATAAGGCTTTTAATTTTATTAATAGGTCCAAATGCTCAGAGGGACAAACTGTCCACAAAATTCTGTGACTCAAAATGTAACTTTAAAGCCCATATGGAACACTAAATCCATTTTATCAACTCAAAAATCTCACTAAAACACATCAATTTCTCTCTTGGTGTGACACAGAGATACTAATGCATGTATTACTATATATTTAGCAGACTGCACTACTGAAATGCTCTCACCTCTGGTCTACCTAAAAAAGTTACAAAGCACCTGTACAACCGATTCAGAATTCTGCTGCCCGAGGACCATATGGAGAGAACATGTTACACCAGTTTTAGGTCATTACATCTGCTGCCTGTCAGTTTCTGAGTTGTTTTAAATTTATTTTACTTGTTTTTAAAGGCAAGGCAATATAATTTATATAGCACATTTCATACAGGCAAGTTAATGTGGTTTACAGTGGCAAGGAAAAACAGTAACAACTTAAAAACAATAAGCATTAAAACCAGAATAAAATAAATTAAAACAGAGATAAAACATTGTTAAAATGAGATCAAATAAATGAAAATAAGACCTGGGACCAAATAAAAGGTCTAAAACAAAGATGCAGCAGTTACACCTCCAGCACTTTGAGTCTTATACTGTAGGTGCTACAAAGTACAAGAAAAAATTCTCTGGTGAAGCAGTTGGTTGGTCTGCCTAAGAAACTGAGCTGAAACTGTTGATGGTTTCAAAGTTTGATTAGAATGTTTTTCTGCTGTTATTTTTGTTTTATGCTGTTTTTTCATTTCTGTTTATGTTTATGTTTAAATGCTTTTTTATCTGCTATAGATGTCATATTATTATTACACGTTAACTCAAATATATCTTACTGAAGTATGTTTGATTTTACCCAAATTCTTTTATTGAAAGCACGAGAAGTGAAGACAGGAGAGAACTGTTTAAAATCAACAGGAAGTTTACTCAAAGTTTGGGCACAGGTAAAGCCATACAGTGCTGAGGTCAGAGAGACAGAGCTCCCACAGGAATTCTGTTCTCTGAGCTCCGAGTTATGTTTTCACATTACGATTATCTTCCTGAGCTAGGTCTGCCCTGGACAGAGGTACAACATTCAACACTTTGTAATCCTATCGGTCATTTGGTGTAAGCAGGAGCTCACACCTCCTTGCTGGAATATGGTAAAATCCAGGTGTGTGTGTGTGTGTGTGTGTGTGTGTGTGTGTGTTGTGGTTTCAGGAGATACTGGACAATAGGTTGTCTGTGCTGCAGACCCCCTATCTCTGTAATCCTATTACAGGACAAAGCAGGACCTCGTGAGTATGCTAAACGGGCCTTGGTAAAAGTGCAAAACAGGCCTTGGTTACTTGAGATACAGACATCCTGTTGTTGTGGAAAAATTATCTTAAAGCTCAGTGAGTGTAAAATAAATACTTAACATCAATTCTGAAAGTTATTACATATTTATTCCTGCAGAAAGGAGCTATCTCTAAACAGAGTGTCTAATACAGTCTGTAGGAGAGAAAGTTCTTTGAACTGAGTGCTGTCTCTCCTCTTATACACACACATAAGATTACAGGAACAATGCTCAGACAATGGCCAACAAGACAACAGTTAACACAGGATACTAGTTATCTGGTTCAACAGTCACACAAAGGTGAGAAATCCTTACAAACATGCTGACACAATAAACAGTCTGAGATCACAACCACACAAATGAGTGCATACAATGACATGAAAGCCACAGGTAATAAACTACAAAGAGTACTAGACTACAAAGCATCGGCTAATAAACTTTAAAAAGGGTGCTGCCATACAATTGCCACTACATTCCCATCCTCTTGATTAAGCATTAATCACAACAGTACATACTAAAGCCTTCTCAGGAATACATCAAATTTATCACACTGAAAAGGTTTAAGATAAATCATCATAATCTGGAAGAAAAACCTGAGCATACCGGGTTCCTGATACAATCCTGAAAAACAAGCATAGAGGAGGAAGACAATAATAAACCTACACCAGCTCTTCATCCTAAGAATCTGAGTTGTCAGAGCTATAAACAGTTGACAACATCAGTAAATGACAACATCGTTTCAGTGGTTTGTGAAACAAACCTGGAGACAAAAACTTCACTACAAGAACACAAACTGTGCAAATGCACAAAATCACCAAGAGGCCAAAAATACCCATTCTCACCATCCACAGCCAAGATTTCCAATTCTGTAGAAGGGACCAAAATTCACTTCCAGTGGTGATGTCCAACATCATGGCTTTCTGTAATGCAGTCAAGTTTCGTATGGCCAAATCAATAGTAGCACCATCTGCGTCATTGTTAGGGATGTAAGTAGAGCAGGATGTGCCCTAATAATTGGGCAGGGACTCAGAATTTCCATGCACTGTGCAGGAGAGAGGGTGCCCACTCGCCTCGTACCATTGCCAATATAACAGTGTGCTGCTCGGAAATCACTTGGAACATGGACAACGGAAATGAGTGGATCTGTTTGATTCAGAAATGTCAGTGTATGAGAATTACAGTCTTTATAAAAGTATTCTGACATGTAGGTGTAACCTGAGGACATCAGCTGTATAAGGCACCGATGATATTGTTTCATATTTATCCTTTTGTGACCATCTACAGTTTGCCAGGTGGCACCCCATCCGGGGTGATTGTAATCAAGTGGAACTGGTGAGAGCAGAGGTAACTGGCCTGACCCTGGCATGTGTGCACACATAACAATTACTCAAATTCATAGCTGCCGTGGTGTGGTTAGCAAATCTCCACCACATATTGGTAGCATATATGTGAGGAGGATCATTATGTATTATCCAGTCATGTTGGAGATGTTTGACCATGCGTTTACTGTGAATAAACTCAGGATATAATGTGTAGCCTGGTCTTTGACTAAAGTCCCAAGATACTAAACGTTAACAATGACCCCAAAAAAGAAAAACATGTCAGTTTTGTCCATGGCAATGGCTTGGTCCTGATGGCCTGGTCCAATGTCGGCTAAGCTTGTTAGCTCGTGTGTGTCATGGTGTGTTCTGTGTATTTCATCGAAGCAGCAGGAAGCGGCGCTTGGCTCATGCTTTGCTGCTGTGTTGTTTAAAAGCAGCCTCACTTAATCAGGGTGTGTGTGAGTGAGTGAGTGTGCTGGGTTGGGGTGCTCAGCTGTCATCTCCGGTGGCCTTGGCACCTTCTTACAGTGGCTCACGTGAATCCAGGTTGCTCTTTCTGCTACCTTAACTGCTGTGTGCGTTGTCATCAGGACTTGAAATGGTCCCTGCCAGCGCTTGGACTTCCAATGTTTCCGCTGGAGCTCCTTTATCACAACACAGTTCTTGGCTGCAGATTATGTAGAGGTTCAGAGGCTGGAGCCAGGAGAGCTGCTTTCACCTGTTGGAAATCTGAGAAAGAACGCTGGACAGGGTTTTACACTATTGTAAACGGCAACAGATTTTCCTTCAGCCAATTTAGCAGAGAAATAGGCAACAGGGCGTTGTTGTCCACCCTGTTCCTGCAAGAGAACAGATGTCATACATGCATTTTTCTCATCCACAGTCTGCGTGAAAGGTCTGGTCAAGTCAGGTAGTCCCAGTGTCAGTGTGGTCTGCAAAACTAACTTCAAGTCAGTGAAAGATTTTTCAGCATCTAGTCTATGTCACTTTATCATAAGATTGAAGGCCTTTTCCATGAATCAGTGCACTAAGTGGAGACTCCAATATGACATACTTTGGGAGGAAATTCCTACAGTAGGAGCACATGGCAAGAAGGGATATCGTTTGATTTTGTGAGTGGTTTTGGAAGCTGCTGGATAGCTTCAACTATTTTGGGTGAGAGGGATTGCCCTCAACTGTGATCACATGACCCAGAAATATAACTTTAAGTGGTACAAAAAGCAGTTTAGAGAGACTAACTTTATGTTCAGCCAGGTTCTGCAAGAGTTTAACTTATTGCAATAAAGCTGTACTTTTAGCAAAACAAATCAAGGCTTGCCTGCGGCATTTACTGCTTGCAAGTCCTGAACAAATCTCCATTCTGTAGGTTAAATAGGGAAAACCAAACAAATCCCCCTTCAGCAAGGACTTGGGGATTGTCGCACATAGCTGAGGTGCATTATTGTAATGATTTCCCTACCTTATTTAAACCTCTGGCAGATGCTCCGTCGCCGCCAGAGCATTACCTATGTGAGACACGGACATGTTGAGGAAGTATCGACAGGTTGGGTGAACTTTCCTAGCCATGTGTATCTGACGGCGATGCCGTGATTACCTCTGGTGAGCTTTCCTAGCCATGTGTATCTGACGGCGATGCCGTGATTACCTCTGGTGAACTTTCCTAGCCATGTGTATCTGACAACGATGCCGTGATTACCTCTTGCATTCTTTCCTAGTGTTAGGTAATTTCTTAGTCAGATAGATATTCAGAGATTTGTTGTCTAGAAATGTTTAGTGGAGACAGGATGTCTAGCTCAGGCTGTTAAATGCTTAGTTATTCTGATGTGCTTGCAGACAGCATCTAGGCCAAGGTTAATTAAATCAGACAAAGGCTGCAGGCAGGGATGATTGTTATTATTAACTGTAATGCTAATCATAATATTTTTCTTAATGTGAAATGTCATGTCAAATTGTTCTTAGATACACACCACTAATCA